CCCCCCTGGATTCATATTCCAGCCCCTGGAGCTGTGTCCCAGCCCTTGGAGTCACATTCCAACCTCCCGAGCCATATTCCAGCTCTTTCGGAGCCATATTTCAACGCCCTGGATCCATATTCCAGCCCCTGGATCCGTATTCCAGCCCTTGCAACCACATTCCAACCCCTGGAGCCGTGTTGCAGCCTTGGATCCGTATCCCATTCCCTAAAGCCACATTCCAGCCCCTGGAGCCACATTCCATCTCCTCCAACCACGTTCCATCCCCTGGATCCATATTCCACCCCCTGGAGCCACATTCCAGCCCCTTGAGCCACGTTCCACCCCTCAGCTGCACATTCCACCCCTTGGATCCACATTCCACCTCCTGGACCCATATTCCAGCCCCTCAGCTGCACATTCCACCCCCTGGATCCGTCTCCCACCCCTCAGATCCCAGTTTTCCCCCGTATCCCACCCGGGGGGGCCTCACCAGGGCGATGTCCCTGTGGCTGGGATCCAGGACTTTGAGGATGACGTGCATCTCCCGGCTGTTGTTGTTCTGCTCCGTGGAAAAGTACTCGGCCTCGTCGTCGTTCCCGGAATTCCCGCAGACGCTCAGGACCCCGTCGTAGATGTTGGTCCGGGTGCCCTGGCCCAGGTGGGCTCGCTGGGAAAACAGGGACAAGGGCGAGGGTTGGACCCTCTGGAATGGTGATGGGAGGGTGGGAATCCTCATCCGACCCCCCCTCGGCTTTCCTCTGTATCCCACTGTGGGAAAAGCTGCTTCCACGGGGATATTTCCCTCCCTTTTTCCTTGAAAATGGAAGGAAGGAAAGATCAAAACAATCCCAAAATTGGCCCAGGGGGGTGGGATTTGCTCCTGCTCTGGATCCCGGGATCTGGGGTGAATCCTGGGAAGGCAGAGGATCCCTCCCCAATTCCATGAATCCTGGGAAGGCAGAGCAGGTCCTTCCATCCCCAAGAATCCTGGGAAGGCAGAGAGGATCCCTCCCCAATTCCATGAATCCCAGGAAGACAGAGCAGCTCCCTCCATCCTCAAGAATCCTGGGAAGGCAGAGAGGATCCCTCCCCAATTCCATGAATCCTGGGAAGTTCAGAGCAGGTCCCTCCACCCCCCAGCCCCGAATCCCGGGAAATCAGAGCAGCCCAAATCCCGGGAAAGCGGCACCTGGGTGATCTCGTTCTTGCGGATCTGGTGGAAGCTGAGCTGGCTGAGGTTCAGGATCTGCTTCCCGTTGTCCTTCACCTTCCTGGCGATCAGCAGGTCCGAGATCTCTGGGAGAAGGGAGGGAAGGGCCCCATGAGCTCCTGGATTCCCGTCATTCCCGGCATTCCCGATCCCAGGGGCTGATCCGTGTCCGTACCTCCGGGTCTGGGGGGGCAGCACCTCTTCACGGAGAAGTTTTCCTCCCCGGAGCGGAGGGTGCAGCCCTTGAGCACGTCCAGGAGCTCCCGCAGGGAGGGGAATTCCCGATCCCAGCCTTCCAGCACGAAGGAATCTCCCTTCTTCTGGATCCGGAACTGCCGGAACTTGAAGGCTCCCGGCGTTCCCGGAGCCTGGAAAAGCGGAGTCGGGGCAGGGGAGCGGCGGCTCTGCGGCTCCCAGCTCATCCCAGGGGCCCGCGATTCCCGGGAATTCCGCGCTGGGAATTGCCTCCTACCTGCTGGTGGCTCCTCTTGGCCACGGTGAGGATCATCCGGTTGAAATCCAGGACGCTCCAGCGGAGGATGTAAAGCCCTTCCTCCGGCTCTTCCCGGCGGAGTTTGGCAAAAACAAACTCCTCCCTGGGAGCAGGAGACAGGGAAGGGATTGGGACGAGCCCCGAGGACATGGGATGGATCTGGAGGAGCCCCGAGGACACGGGATGGATCTGGATGAGCCCCGAGGAGATGGAGCTCTCCAGAGGAGTTCCCGAGGGCAGGAAGCAGCTCCAGGGGGGCCCCAAGGACAGGGAATGGCTTGGGATGAACCCAAAGAACAGGGAGTGACTCTGGGAGAGCCCCAGGGACACCTGGATGAGCCCCAGGACAGAGAATGGGGTTGGATCAGCCCTAAATAGATGGGATAGCTCTGGATGAGCCCTGAGAACAGGGAATGGGGTTGGATGAGTCTGGAGAACATGGAATGGCTCTGGATGAGCCCTGAGAACAGGGAATGGCTCGGGATGAGCTCAGTGGACATGGAATGGGGTGGGATGAGCCCTGAGGACAGGGAATGGGGTTGGATGAGCCCTGAGGACATGGAATGGCTCTGGATGAGCCCTGAGGACAGGGAATGGTGTTGGATGAGCCCTGAGAACAGGGAATGGCTCGGGATGAGCCCAGTGGACATGGAATGGGGTTGGATGAGCCCCAAGGAGACAAAACACTCCGGGAGAGCTCCGAGGGCAGGAAACGACTCCGGACGAGCTCCAAGGACCGGGAGCAGCTCGGGATGAGCCCCGAGGCCCGGGATCATCCCCCCTTTCCCCCCCACTCACTGCATGGGCCCGTGGATCCCGTTGCGGATGCTCATGAGGAGCCGGGGCGGGGCCACGTCGTGGCACAGGTAATGGCTGGAATCGGCCGTGAGCCGGAAATATCCGTCCACCAGCGACACCAGGGACAGGGCGATCCCGGGGGACGGGAGAGAAACCTCCTGGGAAACAGAAAAACCACCAGGGCTGAGCCCCAAATCTGCTCATCCCCACGGATCCCTCGGCAAACGCCGGGAAAATCCTCCTTGCTCTGGAATTCCGGGAGGGTCCCGATCCCGCTCACCAGGCACTTGTTGTCCTGGCGGTGGATGGAGATCCGGGATTCCTTCAGCACCACGTGGGTGATCTCCCGGAAATCACAGAAGTGGCACCAGGGGGGCTCGGGGTCCTTGGGATCCGGCTCCTTGGTCCTGCTCTTCCTCCCAAAGTAGCTGCGCTGGGGGAAGGTCTCGGGGCTCTGGGGAGGCACAAAGGGGAGAATTCCAGGTTTTCCAGCTGCTGGAGGGGTCGTGGGGGGCACTGGGGAAACCTGGAGATGGTGTGGGATGGGATAGGGATGGGAACGCTGGGAAAGGTGCTGGGCGAACTGGGATAAGCCGGAAAGGAACTCTGGATGCCCAGAGAGCCCAAGGAAAAGCCTGGGAACCATCCGGTGTGGGATGGATTGGGATGGGAGTGGACTGGAATGTTGTGTGGGATTGGGATGGGAATGTCCAGAAAGGCGCCGGGCAAACTGGGATAAGCTCTGGGTGTCCAGAGAGCCCCCAGGAAAACCTGGGAAGCATCCGGTGTGGGATGGATTGGGATGGGGTTGGATTGGAATACCGGATGGGATTTGGGTGGGAATATCAGAAAATGTTCTGGGTAAACTGGGATTAAGCTGGAAAGGAACTCTGGACTCCCAGAGAGCCCAAGGAAAAGCCTGGGAACCATCCAATGTGGGATGGATTGGGATGGGAGTGGACTGGAATGCTGCATAGGATTGGGATGGGAACGGACTGGAATGTTGCACAGGATTGGGATGGGAACGGACTGGAATGTTCCATAGGATTGGGATGGGAACAGACTGGAATATTGCATGGGATTGGGATGGGAGTGGACTGGAATTTTGCATAGGATTGGGATGGGAACGGACTGGAATGCTGCATGGGATCGGGACGGGAATCCCGGGAAAGGCTCCGGGCAAACCGGGATGAGCTCCGGACACCCCCAGAGTCCCTTGGGAAGCATCCAATGTGGGATTGGGATGGGATGGGATGGGATGGGATGGGAACAACCCCAACCCACCTCCGGAGGCGCCGGGCGCCACTGGATGCCGGCGGTGCCGGAGACCAGGACGTGGTGTGTGACGGGCGGATCCCGCGGGATCAGGGGCCGTCCCGGCTCCGTTCCCGGCTCCGGAGGGGCTCCATTGGCACAGAGCTGCCCCTTGTCCCCCTCGGCCGCCGTTTCCAGGGAAAGGGCCGGGAAGAGCTCGCTCCCGAAGCGCGGCGCCAGCAGCTCCAGGGTGGCCAAGTACTTGGACATGACGTCGCGCTCCGAGAGTTTCCCGGCGCCCACCGTGTGCCGCTGGAAGCGCCGCAGGAAGCGCCGGAAGACGTTGCGCATCCGGAAGCGCGTCAGGAAGCTGTTCTGCTGGATCTGCCGCTGGAAGGAGCGCGGGATGCACTCCTTGAAGCTGCCCAAGGGAAAAATAAGGGAATGACGGCTCGGGGAGAGCTCGGGAGGGGATTTTCTGCCTTGTCCAGGGTTGCCTGGAATTCCCATCCCGATCCCACACAGCCTTCCAGTCCATTCCCGTCCCAATCCCACACAACATTCCAGTCCATTCCCATCCCAATCCCACGCAATATTCCAGTTCATTCCCATCCCAACCCCACACAACATTCCCATCCCAATCCCAGGCAGCATTCCAATCCATTCCTGTCCCAATCCCACACAACATTCCCGTCCCAATCCCACACAGCATTCCA